CCTCTCCCTGGGGGATGTCTACTTGGCGTTTGATCCATGTCCGATCATTTATACGTGTGTTTGAATATTTGTTTTAATTATCAAAACTGAGAAAGTCTTGGAACTGAGACGGGTAACTGAAAAATGACGCTATTAACTAAAATTAATATTCCACGGTTTTCATACAAATGTTTATATTCACAAAATGTTGAGACTTAAGGATGTTGAGGACCTCACATTTGTTTCATATGTCTTAACGTGCTTACTTCAACGGAACTTAGTTTCTGTTCCTTATACGATTTAAAAAAATCCAAGCTAGTATTTTACTCTTTAGCACATTATAACAGACTCTGAGTATAAAAATGGTTTTCTCAATTCAATATGACAGGAAATATTGGAGACAATTACAATGTAGTTAATATATAATGTGATGCAATGGATGGCTGGAGTAATATGAGTTAAATTCACATCTGTAGGGTTTTATGAGATATTCTGTTCGTGTCTGTACACAGTAATAGTAATAGTCCGCTTATATGGCACTCATATCCATGTACATTGCCAGCTCACGGCGGTACGTGTATTTCTATCCCCGCTCATAGGACACTATCGTACTTTCCGATACTTTTTCAACTCCCTGGGGATCATACAGCCATGCTGCCTAAGAGGCGCCATGAACTAAACACTCACATTGCCAGCACAACCTCACGGGTACCCATTTTACAACTGGGTGAACTGAGACAATGTGGATCTAAGTATCTTGTCCAAGGATACTACACAAATGTGCCCACCTCGGGACCCGAACCTAGGTTCCCCCACCGGAGATCGATCCCGGGCCTTCAGCGTGATGGGCCTAATAGGCAGACGCCGTACCATTGAATTTGCGCTCTACATGCAGAACGCATTAACAGACAGCGGCGATACAGGGAACACGTACCTTTCTCTCATATTGGAAACTAGGGGTGGATATTGCAGAGAATTTTCATATTGCAATATATTGCGATGCGAAAGCATATATTGCGATATGTATTGCAATATATTGCAATAAGTGTTTTTTAACAAATAAGAACACATATAATCGAGTTAATGCTCGATTGAGCTTTAATAAAAACTTTAATCATGACGAAAATAAAAATGTAAATAATATTTGGCACAAACGAAACAAGGAAACGAACAACTGAACATCAACACAGTGGTTACTAGTTTGAAGTAGTTTCTCCATTCTCAAAAAGAGTCCTGAGATTTTAGACAGCACATTTGACCTGTTATATTGTGCAGCCCTAGGATTTATCAATGGCACTGTAGCACCATCTACATCTCGTTTTGCCTAATATGCAAATTAGTCGAGAAAGTATGTCATTTCCTGCCGGAGACGGCGAAGTAAGGTCCGTTGCAGGCACTTTAAAATGACGGATGTTACAGCAATTGGTCGAAAGTCATTGTGTTCCTTGGGTCGTTTTAATATTGAGGATTGATGTTTACACACTTTAAACACTTATAAATTGTGTTATAACACCATCTAATCAGAAAGAAAGCTTGCATCTCTTTGTATACTTTATAGCGAATTCAATTCCAGCGAATTCAAAACACTAAAAAAATCCTTTTTGAAAAATGTTCTAGTATGTTACCCTTGTATTAATAGAAACCATATTGAAAACATCGTAGACAATACTTGTCTACTGAAAATACTTCGTATCATTTAGTGACATAGGCTTGTTCGTCTCGTGGTATATAATAGAAATGAAAAACATGCGGGATATCATATCACTTACTGGTGATTTTAAACCTTTTCAAATACTTAAAGAAGATTTTAATCTTCATGAAACATACCATCTCTACTTCAGATTTTTTAAATACATACCCAAACCATACCTTAATCTTCTTAAGGCTACACCTATTGCTGATGAATTAGTAACAACAAACTGTACTATTCTTAAACAAATATGTAACTCGGCTGATCGGCTGATCTCAATTATCTCACTGACTGTTTTGCAATGATAAATACTACTACAATAGAAAATAAGGCTAGGAACTTCCAGTTTAAATTGATGCACAGAGTAGTTTCAACAAAGTCATTTCTATGTAAAATAGGTATTAATCACGATAATCTAGAAATAGAAACTCTTGAGCACTTATTCTTTTTATGTGAGAAAACTAAACATCTAGGCCTAGATTTTCGAAGCTCTCTTAGCGCTAAGATAGTCGTAGGTTAATGTTAAAGGTCACATGCAACCAAAAAATCAAACATAATTAAAACACAATTATCACTTCTTCATGACATATAATATGCATTGCTGATTATGAAAAAACAAATAAACAAAATTATAAGCGTATAATCGCAAATCAAAAGTGCAATATTTTGTACTCGGGTTTACCTCCCTCGAAACGAAGCAGCCGGGATACCGAACCCAGTCAGAGCGGGTGGGTGTGCACTCAAGTGTAACGGCTGGTTCATTAGCAGATGCCGCCTTCACGGGTCATTGTGTGTGTATATATAGAAAGTTGGGTTTTGTAAATACATGCTCATTTTTTGTGTAAAACATTTTGCAATCAACAGACATCATAACATGTCATGTGTTCAAGTATCACACCTGCCTGTCTGTGTAATTACATAATGTGACAGAGACCGAACTCGGGCCATAAATCAATGCGTTTTGTTTATGGTGTATAGCCTGATTGGTGTTAAGTTCAAATTGCATGTGGTCAGTGATCGCAGTTGTGTATTGAATATTGTCATTAGCAGACAGGCAGGCAGACACACTGGTGTCAATAAAACAAGACATTGAGTTTTGTCTGTGACAGCGACATATCTATATCACAGTTAGAAATCGTGTCAACTCTAAATAATGACATTGCTTTTAAGTATCGAACTGAGAAAGTGACTCGGTAAGAAGAACGTGTGGTGAAATAGACAAATGAAATTATATAAACAGTTTATTTACTGTCATCACATACAAAAAGCTCGCGCCTGTGAGATATCAACAAAAAATTATGAAACTAGCTCACACCAAAGCCTTCACCGAGTATTCACCAGACAGCCCGCTTCCAAGTTGCGCGAACCTATTTCACTGCGCACGTGCTATGAGCGCAGCCAGCTGTTGAAACCCGTATTCCCCAGAAAAGTCTGGGGAAAATTAGTGAAACGTTTGAACTCCGATTTCGCGCGTCTTTTTTCATCGCGTTATTTTTCAACTTTATAAGTTAAATTTGCATTTTTGACGCTTTTTTTCGGTAAGTCCATACCGAAAGGTATCAGAATCTGCAAAGTTGTGTTTAACGTTGCATGTGACCTTTAATGTATGGCACTTTCGACTATCTTAGCGCTAAGAGAGCTTCGAAAATCTAGGCCCTAATCTCTCATTTTACAAGCTGGTACAATTCCAAGACTGGCGCTTGCCTCAATATCGATATTACTAAGTTTCTACTGGGGGACCCTGAAGCAAGTGTATTAGTTAATCATATTTTCACTGTTACCAAGGAATACATCAATAAAGTAAGATATACCTCCGCGGATTTAAATTTCGACCAACTGTTCTACCTCATATAAAACACTACCATTTGGAAAAATACATTTTAGGGGAACACCACTCTGACTCTAAAACAAAATGGTTATGACTCTTTCAAGACGACTAAATTTCAGATTAACATAGTGAGTTTCTCTATTCTGCACCCTTGCACTTTCCTATATCTCTCTCTTGCCCCAACCTCACTTTTTTAAATCTAAATTTTATTAATAACGGCATCAATAATTTATCAGCTGAAACATGCGTTGTGTTATATGCATTATCTTTGATGAAATGTAAAAGGACATGTACCGTTATTAGTAATAAAAAAAACAGAATTCAGTTCCAGCAGATTGTGAATGGTTATGACTTGCCAATGAAAACAGAAAGTAGGCCTGAAAACTATTTGTCCGTCATGAGTATAGTAAAACCCCTGAATATACTTTGGAATTGACTATTATATTCTAGGGGTGGCGGATGTCGGGTTTTGGATTATCTGTGTGCTGGCGGAAACATACTCATCTGAATAATTTCTTAAAAACAATCATATTTAGTTAATGTAACTGTACATCCATTAATTTATTTTTGAAAAAAGGTTTCAAATATAGCCAGCATGGACATAAATGTGGTAGACAGGGAACCACACAGTAAGCATTTTTAGTCATATGAACTACTTATGGCGTTGTTTCATATCAAATACTTTTATCTCTATACTCTCTGTAAGCCTTTGTAAAGTTACTGCCCTGATGTCATTTCATTGCACCGATAAAGTCTGGGCTAACAAAATGTTCACAGGAAACTTGAAATGTCCGTGGATCTCCACGCCATTTGTTACCAGTTAGCGCATGACGTCATTGATAATGGTAATATAATGCCGTTATATTACCGAACCATTTAAATAAATTTCTGTCAACATGGTAATTATTCATTCACCTGTGACCGAAAAGTTAGGATAATATGAACGAAACGATACATGTAAACCTAGTAATACACGATTTCAAGGGTATTTAAACCTGTGTCATCAACGAACAACATTTACAGGTATTTCAAGTGTGATAAATATATGAAATACATGATCATTTTCACACACATTTGTCATATTTGTTCATAGTCTAATAAATGCTCTTTTATTTCATGACCAGAGAAACAAATGTAAAATGCTACGTACATTTCAAACGTTGGTCATATGGACTTAAATGATACCTTTTTCTTCACATGGTTGAATTTGGGAAATATATATATTTGAGTGGTATATATGACCAATAGCCTTCGGACAAAGCAGCTACAATGGAGACTGTATATGTATCAGAACGGCTCAAACATAATATTTACATAGCGATAAGCCGTTTTATCTATATGCGTTGAGCTGGACTGATTAGAGATTACATACACGTAGATACACGGACAACGTGTCCTTGCATAAGTAGTACATTGTATATTGTTATCGACAAGCAGGATTAACTCTCATCTGGCCCAAATACCAGAACATCTCGCGGTAGTTATCACACGAGATTCAAAATGGCCGCGTCCATGGAGTACGTCGTGAGAAGGCATGATCTGTTGGATTTTTGTAAGCGATGCATGGTCAAGGTCGGAGCTCCCGTTGATCATGCTGTCTCTCTGGCAGAGGTTGTTGCAGATGCTGACAGTAGAGGCCATTACAGTCACGGTTTAAACAGGCTACGTAAGTAAATCTCGCCCTGGCGTGATATAGAATAAAACATGTACACTACTGCTCAAACTTCACTTGTCGCGATACGAGACACCAATCTCACACTTGAACTGCATCCTCGCAAATAGATTGAAATTGATCAAATGAGGATTGAGTGAAATGTACAACCTCCGCAACTTCTAGCTGTAATTAACGTCGATTTTGAGTTCTCGTGGACAAAGTAGTCGTACATTTTTGGTCGGTACAGTACTGATCAGCTGATTCTTTGACCTACTCGTATAGCTTTGACCGCCTTGTGTCATTGACCCCCACATCACAGTGTTGTACTATGGTGGGAAAGGCATGCTGTTGGCATCGTTCATTGGAATAACATGATGATGATAATGCTACGTCTCCGTGGCCTCTGATATCGTTCCGGTCTTCAACAAGCACTCCCAAACGTAGGAACTATTACAGGGTAAAATCTCAAAACAAATGTTCCTTGATATTCGGGATTATTACAGCAAAGTAAATCAATGGGTACACAAACGTACGTGTTCTAGACTTAAGCTGTCGGCATTTCATGTTTGTTCAAGCCCCCGGGGCCGTTTGAGTTAGATCGCTGACCTTGTGTGCTGACGATTAGGGGCGACAATTTGAGAACGCCCATAACATTAGACCCTTGCTTACAAAATAAGCGCAAGTGGAGTTGTGTATTAGAGCAGACACACTGGAGCAGTGTCAACCGTCATAAAGACACGCAAAGGCATGTCAACTATTCACCTGAAACATCATACGAGGCAAACAAGGGGCTTGCACTAAACACCATTTTTGTCACTGATGCGTCAAACTTTGAAATGTCTTGAATCCATCTACCATAATACATCTTGAAATCTTTAATGTTGCAATTTTCACCAAACAACCTTTGAGCAAGACACGTGTGACGCCCTATTGAAATCTTCGAAGAAAGAGCTAGCTCGAATGTACCGCAAAAGCTATGTTATCAAACTGTTGAAATATTGCTTGACATAAAGGTATTATTGGAAAGTTGAAGTCATCCTTTGTGTCATAAAGTCGTGTGGAGCGATTTTCTTAAAAAAAATTGTCAGTCTATATCTTTATGCATCGATGTAAATGTGAATCTGACTGCATGTCTAGACAATTTACTTTGGTGAATCATTGGATGGGAATGAGATACTTACGTTATACATCTTGTCCAATTTTCCCCTGTGTTAAAGATGCCCATCTGATTTATATGCACAAAGAAGATTAGGAAGAAGGATAGCTCCAATTGCTCCAATAGCCATGCTTACGTCTTGTGTAAATGCCTTAACCACAAATTTTACCCAGATGTTGTCATTACATGTAACGCATATGCGAGTCAATACGTGTTGTGTACTTTGTTTCAGGTTTCTACATAAAAAGTTATCAATTCCTCAACCAGAAGGAACACCAAGAACCTATTGTTGTCAAGGAATCCGTAGCAACGGCTCTTGTTGATGGAAACAACATGTTAGGTATGTTCATGTGCAGCCTACAAAAATACACCTTCAAGAAAACCACGTAGGCTGCCTACGTGCGCTCCTTTGAGGTGTAATTTTGTATTTTGCTCATTAGAAATATTGTCAGCAGTGACAAGACAATCGCAATTTCTTACATGTTTAGACACCCGTTAGATCCGGGCTAGAATTGGTCTTCCGCAAACCATGGTTGTCATAAGAGGCGGCTAACAGGATTGAGTGGTCGGTCTCACCGACTTAGTTGACACATGTCGTTGTATACCAAATGCGTAGATCGATGCTCATGATGTCAATCACTTGATTGTCTATTCCAGACTCGATTATTTCCAGACCGCCGTCGCATAGCTGGAATATTGCTGAGTGCAGCGGTAAACAACAAAGAAACAATCAAAAACATATGTAGAGTGGAATACATTATATTTTTAAATGAAATGTTAACATGATTTCTAGCAGTTGGCGTTTATGTATTGTGGACACGTCACCTATCAGCTACAACGGTGAATGACGTGTGGCGAATACGCTGCATGGTGTATAGGGTCATGTATGGGGTTATGTATAGGATCATGGATGTGAGGAACATATGTATGAAAACACCATGAATTAAATGAAAAGTAAAAAGATTGGCATATGTCCCCACTAGGAGGCAACGGACACAGCTATAGTTCCTATGTACTGGTAATACCAAACCCAGAATTAAAAAAAAATCTAAATTAAGCACAATTCATAAACTTTAAGACAAATTCAGCAAGACATTAATCTTCGTAATACCAAGATGGGGGTCACATTCACTGACAGTTCTAACTGACAGACTGTTACCAATAAGAAATGTTCCACCAATGAGAAATATGTTACCTCATTCCCAAATTATACATCTATTAATCTGAACAATATATTTTTATATGCTGCATCCGACTTTTTTAGATTTGACCACCGATTACCTTGGCGCCTTCTGGATTCCTACGTTATTTTTCAGTTTTTCTATCATTTTCTTTCATTTGTTTCTCTTTTGTTCACAAATAGAGAGGTCATATGAACAGGGATGGTGAAATGTCAACAGATAACAATGAAAAATATTACACGTACTTGTGGGGTGAATATTTTTACAGCTCTTTAATGAGTGAGTGAGTGGGTGAGTTAAGTTTTCCGCCGCTTTTAGCAATATTCCAGCAATATCACGGCGGGGGACACCACAAATGGGCTTCACACATTGTACCCATGTGGGAATCGAACCTGGGTCTTCAGCATGACGAACGAACGCTTTAACCACTAGGCTACCCCACCGCCCCACAGCTCTTTAATGATACATGGACATCACTGATTCGATCAAGTGGGCGGTAGTACCTATTAAATCAGGTAAAATAAGTATAAACACTACGCCTTTGTTAGTTTGGACATTCAATGATCCATATGTAGTCCCGACACTGTTACACACTGAATTTGTGACGTCTTAAGCTGCCTTCACACGGCAAACTAATGCTTGACAACACATGTTGTCAAACTCGAGTTTGAGAGTGTGAACATTACAACAACTCGCCACCCACACCAATTTTAGAGTTGGCAAACTGTTGTCGAGAAATAGAATCGGTCTCTATTCTCACTAACTTTACCATCAAACCTTCGGTGTTGTCAAAATCGTGTTGTTCAGAAACAACCAGTCGCAGTCAACGAAATTGTCACGTGTCTGCACCGATAGAGATATGGCGCTCAAATGAAACGATAGTTTGACAACATGCGTTTGATGTGTCAAAACGCGAATTTGACAGCTTTTAAAATTGTAGAACATACATGTATGTTGTCAAACTTAAGTTTGCCGTGTGAAGGCCGCTTTAGAGCACGTAATAGATTTCCCTAGCGATTATTGTATTGTTTTAGTCGTTGTAATTGCTGCTTGCTTCCATCACATCAACAATTACCAATGCTCGTTGTGTTAATGTATATATATACTTATATGTTCCAGGGCCAGTGGTTGGCAGATTTTGTATGAATCTCGCCATGAGGAAAGCCAGGAGCACGGGTGTGGGGATGGTGTCAGCTTATAGTAAGTTGTACGTGCGCATCACCATTGGTTACAAGGATCCACTGATCGACGACGCGATTGCTCGATTTATCCGTGGTTTTATATGGACTAAGAAAATGATTGATACAGTGGGAAAGAAGAAGCCAAAACTCATTGTAGGTTTCCGTAAACTGGTTTAGTCTGTTCTTTCGCCCAGCGCTGTGGAGACCTATTCTAACACCATATTCATTGAGAATACGTCCAAAGATCTGCCCCGATTTCTCGAAACAAACTTAAATTTGAGCTTTGACTTAACTTCGAATTTGTACTCCAATTTGAGAAAACGCATTTCCCATGTTGGACTTAAATCGATATATCAAACATTGTAGACAATTTGAGTTTGGTAAATGGACCTGAGTTAAAAATTCAGCTGTTACAAATTGTCAAACTCAGTTCGAAATTTGAGTAAAAACTTAAGTTTGTTTCGAGAAATCGGGGCCTGTTGGTCGAACTGGATACTCATTGTGATTAGATCGCAGGGATCGGGGTGCAGACCTTGTGTGATCCTGACTTACTTTATTTATTTATTTATTTATTTATTTATTTATTTATTTATTTATTTATTTATTTATTTATTTCGTTGTTTGTTGATTCATTTATTGTATTTATTTATTTAAAAATTATGTAAATGTCTTTTATTTAGGTGTCTGTGGCGTAAGGCAACATTCGATTATCCACTGACGTGACGAACACCTCACATCAATATTGCCTGTATTGGGCATATGTGTATCAGCAACGTACGAACCGCCGTCGGGGCAACCCAGTGGTTTAAGCGTTGGCTCGTCACGCCGAAGACCCGGGTTCAATTCCCCACATGGGTACAATGTGTGAAGCCCTTTTCTGGTATCCCCCGCCGTGATATTGCTGGAATATTGCTAACAAACGGCGTAAAACAAGACGCAACTGCCGTCTTGAATATTGCTGAGAGCGACGTTTTCATATTCATTTGGCAGATGCATGTAAATTCATATTGTATATGAATCATACATTCAACAGTATTTCTCTGTTTCTGCAGGATCGAACCATTTTGGGATTGCTGCTCATTACAGTATGATGGCGATGAAGGAGGGACTTATAGTAAGTCAAGTTTACTTATGTTGAGTATACGATATAATTACAAATCCTGGAAGTGGCCGAGGGGTAGCCTAGTGGTTGAAGTGTTCGCTCGTCACGCGTAAGACCTGGGTTCGATGGTTGTAATAGCTCACTCAGTCACTCACTCACTGCACCTTCACATTCCGAAGTATTTAAATACTGTCAAAGCTCTGTGCACGCAGGCCCCAATTCACAAGTAATCTCACAACTCCGTGCAAAGCTGTTTGTTCCGACCGACTTACATCTGCGATGCTCAGTGAATGGAGTTTAGTTTCGTTATTTGAGAGGATTTCGTGAACGGGGTCGCCGACCGATACCCGTACAGCAGGTATTAGTAGCAGGTAGTGTTTACTTACTGAAGGCTGTAAATGCTTACTGACGGATGACCTTTGATCAATGCACTCAACGAAGTGGCAAATACGCTGACTCAACGCGGTGGTGGAGAACGCCCTTGTATTCCCGAAGATTTTGAAGTACGGAATCAGACCCCCATTAAACTATGGTGGCTGATAAGGGCCATCGCTTTCTCTCTTTAAAATTCGACTGCGAGAAAGGGATAACATGAGACAAGAAAACGATAACACGGGACGAGAAAGCGATACGCAAGACAAGAAAGCGATAGCACGAGGAGCGAAAGCGTTACCATTGCTCGAGAAAGCGATATGCCAAGGCGAGAAAGCGATGGCCCTTTTCAGCCACCATATTAAAGACAACGCGGTCACGTGTGTGGTGTTATGAAAGTCATATCTGCTTAGGAAAATAAGGTGTCCACCTAAAATCGGATTTGACGAAATTTAATTAAATCAAATATTACGAACGTTATCAAATGATACTTGACTAAAACTCAACTAGAACATAACTATTATACCCATATGTCAAACACAACCATCGAATAGCATTTGTTGCTTGTTTCACTTCTATCTTCACGGGTGGGTACTTTTGTTTGCCCGTCTGTTCGGGTAGATACAGTTGGTTGGTCAGCTTTTGTCACAATCGGAATTCGCTGGTTCCGCCTGTTGAAAACATTTAAAACCAACATGGACTTTTCTAACCCAAGCCTATTAAATGATAGCTGGGGTTCAGAAATTTTACTCATTGCACTTTTGCGGGGTCTCGATCTCGAGGCTTCCGTGTGATGAGTGAAAGCTCTACCATCCAGACCACTCTATTCAGCAGTTCACTGAACAACGCCACGTTGGAGCACTTTAACATTAACAAAACATTGTGACAACATTCTGCTGCAGTGTTAATTACAGCTCATGCCTGTGTTGAACATTAAGTAGTTCCCCCGTAAGAGCATCAAGTATCGCATCGATGCATGAATTCAATGAAAAATAATTCCTGCGGGATGAGATTATCTGCAGAACAAAGAGGACTTATGGATTTATAAGCTCGGTCTATATATTTTTAACATTGATCCGATCATGATACTGAAGGATTGTCTAATTATGTTTTACTTCACTTAAAGTAGACTGTCATTAATGAGCGATGACCGCTTCTGATCGTATAGGAGTTCTGAGCTGCTAGCGGGCTATTCTTTGTATTCCTCATAATTCTTTGAAGCTCATTTTCTTCAAATGTTTGAATGACGTCACACAACATCCATGACGTCACAGTAGTGAAAATTACAAAAAATAATGCCACAGAATTCAGTTTTCGTGAAACTATTTACACATCTGTTTACAGGGAATCGCATTATGCAACGCAACACCTACAGTTGTCCCGACCAGAGCGAAACAGGTAATACATCTGTCGCTTTATAGAGAGTTGTTCATCCTTCCCGAGAGGGGTGGGGTAGCCTAGTGGTTAAAGCGTTCGCTCGTCACGCCAAAGACCCGGGTTCGATTCTCCACATAGGTACAATGTGTGAAGCCTATTTCTGGTGTCCTCCGCCGTGATATTACTGGAATATTGCTAAAAGCGGTGTAAAACCATACTCACTCACCCCTATAAAATCGCTAGGTCTTTAAACATATTGTGCATCTGCATAATTTAATGATAGATTGATATTTATTATGTCCATCGAGATTGGTTTCGAAAAGTATTGGTTTAAATATTCTTTCGGGAAATTATGCACAGCACGAACAAGAACGAAGGAGTTATGTCCCTTAGCAAACAGGAGAAAACAATGATCTGCGAGCTGAGTTAAGCCCTGAACCTGAATATGTTACAGGAGATGTGAACCTGCCCTTTTGTTGTGGAGTAAATAACAGGGACGTAGGGGGGGGCTTAGACCCCCACTTTTTTCAAGACGAAACCATATCTACCTTACCATAACTGCAATTTCATTTTGATTTTCAATACTTTCGATATATTATCCCCCATGAAAACTGTTCCTACGCCCCTGAATAAATACACATTTCTGTTCCTCCTTGTCGTTCCTGATGTTTTTCAGGGTGTGTTCGGCACCAACCCGATCAGCGTGGCTGCCCCAGCCAACAACGCCGACAGTTTCGTCCTAGATATGGCGACGTCAACTGTAGCCTTCGGAAAGGTACCCCCACTTGTTGTAACACTAAGTCATGATACATTTTTGCGTCATGCACAAACGTGACTTTCATTGTATAAACATGACTTGTTCATGCTGTTAGTGCGAACGTCAGTGCTTACTATCGACGGGTCAGCTTCTAAGGTTGTGGTTGTGGCGCCTGGATAACAGATGTGTGTATTTGTAGGATTTATTACATTTACTCCTACGAATACATTGGCTACACCCCATCAGTCACAGTAATAGTTTATAGTAAAAACTACTGCTACTTTACACACAACTGCCATCTAATCCTGCTGTTCTTACAACTATTACTACCGTTACTACTACTACTGCTGCTGCTACCACTACTACTACTACTACTACTACTACTACTACTACTACTACTACTACTACCACAATTACACAATTACTACTACTACTGTTGCTGCTGCTACTACCACTACCACTACTACTACTACTACTACTACTACTACTACTGTTGCTGCTGCTGCCACTACTACTACTACTACCACAATTACACAATTACTACTACTACTGTTGCTGCTGCTACTACCACCACTACTACTACTACTGCTGTTGCTGCAACGCTGCTGCTACTACTACTACTACTGCTACTGCTGCTACTACTACTGCCACTACTACACACTGTTACTGCTGCCACAGTTACTTACTACTACTACTACTGTTGCTACTGCTGCTACTGCTACTACTACTACTACTACTACTACTGCTGCTGCTGCTACTACTACTACTACTACTACTACTACTGTTGTTGCTGCTGCTACCACTACTACTACTACTACTACTGCTGTTGCTGCTGCTACTACTACTACTTACTACTGCTACTACTGTTGTTGCTGCTACTACCACTTGCTACTACTACTACTACTACTACTACTACTACTACTACTACTGCTGCTGCTACTACCACTACTACTACTGTTGCTGCTGCTACTACCACTACTACTACTACTACTGTTGCTGCTGCTTACTACTACTACTACTACTACTAATTACTGCTACTACCACTACTACTACTACATTTACTCACTACTACTACTACTAATGCTGCTGTTGCTACTACCACCACTACTACTACTACTACCGTTGCTGCTACTACTACTACCACTACTCACTGTTTACTACATACACTACTCACTGCCACTACTACTACTACTACTCACACTACTGTTGCTGCTGCTGCCACCACTACTACTACCACTGTTGCTGCTACACACAACCACTACTACTACTGTTGCTGCATGCTACTACCACCACTACTACTACTACTACTGTTGCTGCTGCTGCACCACTCACTACTACTACTACTACCACTGTTGCTGCTGCTGCCACCACTACTACTACCACTACTACCACACTACCACCGTTGTTGCTGCCACTACCACCACCACTACTACTGTTGCTGCTGCTACTACCACTACCACTACTACTACTACTACTGTTGCTGCTGCTGCCACTACTACTACTACTACTACTACTACCTGTTGCTGCTGCTGCCACTACTACTACTACCACAATTACACAATTACTACTACTACTGTTGTTGCTGCTACTACCACCACCACCACTACTACTACTACTACTGTTGCTGCTGCTGCCACCACTACTATTCACATACTACTACTACTGCTGCTGCTGCCGCCACTACTCACTACTACTACCACCACTACTACACAATTACTACTACTACTGTTGTTGCTTGCTGCCAATACCACCACCACCACCACCACTACTACTCACCACACAACTGCTGCTGCTACTACCACCACCACTACTACTGTTACTGTTGCTGCTGCCACCACTACTCACTACTACTACTCACTGTTGCTGCTGCCACTACTACTACTACCACAATCACACAATTACTACTACTGTTACTGTTGCTGCCACCAGCACTACCACCACCACCACTACTACTACTACTGTTGCTTTGTTGCTGCTACCACCACTTACTACTACACTTGTTGCTGCTACTCACTGCCACTACTACTACTACTACTACTACACTACCACCATACCACACTACTACTACTACTACTACTACCGTTGCTGCTACTGCCACTACTACTACTACTACTACTACTACTACTACCCACTATTTCTACCACTACTGCTACTACCACTGCAACTACCACTACTACTACTACTGCTGCTGCTACTACTATTTCTACAGCTACCACCGTTACTACTGTAACTCCTACTACTACGTTTAGCCTAACGTGTATCCATATGTAAATATGAACTTTACCTTTGTTTGTCTTTCTCCCAGGTTGAGATAAAACATCGTCTCGGGGAGCCAATCCCTGAGGGCTGGGCTGTTGATGACAATGGACAAGTAAGTTGCATGCTCACGAAAGACAAGAACATACTCGGCATCTGTTTAATTCCTTCGTGGACAGGTTCAGGGTCAATTGGCATCAGTCGTTAAAGAATCTTGACATCTAATAAGCGAAATACCGTACCGCGATGACGTATATAATGCGCTGATGCTTTTAACTTGACAAACCATCGTTTAAGTTAAGTCTTGCCAATACCGTTTGCCCATTAGTCGGGTCCTGCCACAATCGTGTATCTTGGGACCCACCCTGAATCCCTAGGAGAGTTATTTGTTTTTAGAAATTCAGCTTTTTACAATAATACCGTTATTGTGGAATGGTGATTTTTAATGGTACTCCAGTTATGCCTCACTTTGAAATTATAACCGTAGAGGAAGTTTGGTTTTTATACTTTTAGGATGAATTTGAATATCATCGAGATTTATAATTCTATCTGTCAGAAAATATTCAGAATATAGATTATATTTCGGGAAGTAAACATATCAGTGCATGATGTATTCCATTATCGTAATTATATGGCAGACCAGGATGAAATCTAGAAATAGACGTTGTCATTTACAGCTGGTTAATGAATATTAAATATCTTGTTTAATTCCAACCATTTACTCAGTTTCATGTTATAGGTGTATGATTAAACAGGACACTGAGGGGCAAATTGATACATAGTTGTTGTATGTTTCAGTCGACCACAGATGCTGATACGGCCCTAACAAGTAGAAAGCTGACTCCTTTAGGGGGGCATGGAACAGACCAGTAAGTAAAGATGAAGGTAATGTACCTTAACTCAAACTAAGCGGTGGTGAGGTAGCCCAGTGGTTAATGCATTCGCTCCTGAAGCCGAAGACCCGGGTTCGATTCCTCACATGGGTACAATATGTGAAGCCCATTTCTGGTGTCCCCGCCCTGATATTGCTGGAATATTGCTAAAAAGGGCGTAAGACCCAACTCACTCACTCCAACAAAAGCATCCCATTCCATTTATATGCCGTTAAAGCCGTCTAAATGAGGACTGCTTCGGTAGGTTCTGTGACTTGGTTGTCATTCTGAGTGGGGGACTGTGTGTAGCAGTCAACAGAGTAGGATGTGCTTACCCTTTGCACGAACATATTGTGTCGCCACTGAATTTCAGTGATCCGTTCATATGATTTTCTTTACTGGTTTGACTGTATGACCGCTGAAAACTGTTTTTACAGATAATTGAAATGTTTGAATTGTCGATAATGATCAATATAAATCACTTGATTGTCTAAACCTGATTCGATTACTTGCCGCGATGAAGCTGAAGATCAGTTATGTAACTATGCTTCAATTCATTTATGATACTGAAACTGAAGATCAATTATATATATACTTTCATTCATTTATGGAAAGAGTTTCAAGGGCTACGGTTGGCTATGATACAAAACTTGAAGATCAATTATATAACGTTCGTATATTTATGCAGGTGGTTACAAAGGCTACGGTTGGCTATGATACTAAAACTGAAGATCAATTATATAGCGTTCGTTTATTTATGCAGGTGGACACAAAGGCTACGGTTGGCTATGATACTAAAACTGAAGATCAATTATATAACGTTCGTTTATTTATGCAGGTGGTTACAAAGGCTACGGTTGGCTATGATACTAAAACTGAAGATCAATTATATAGCGTTTGTATATTTATGCAGGTGGTTACAAAGGCTACGGTTTAGCGATGATGGTAGAAATGTTCAGTAGCGTCCTCAGCGGATCCAACTCGAGTCCCGATGTGAGACATCCCAGTCCGCAACAAGAGACGAATCTGGTAAGCCGTCAGGAGTTACCTCCCGTTTCTTACGCAACTCAGACGTGTTACAAGTGAAAGAGGGCATCCTTCAGCCACATGACAGAATTCCACTTCCACCCTTGGTCAGAATCCTCGTTACATGTCTTGAACAGAAGGACGGTATGTACGGATCATAAGTCGGGAAGAAATAGAATATATTTCTTCTATATTTACGGCTTACTCAGCAATATTCCGGCTATATGTTGGCTGTCTGTAAATAATCGAGTCTGGACCAGACAATCTAGTGATCAACATCATGAGCATCGATCTATGCAATTGGGATGCGGTGACATGTGTCAGCGAGTCTGACCACTCGATCCCGTCAGTCACCTCTTACGACAAGCATGGGTTACTGAAGATCAATTCTCACCCGGAACGTTAATTCTAACTAACTCACTCACTTCACTCACTCACTCACTCACTCACCACACCCGTCATGAAATCACTGGAACATAACGGGAATCATCAAAGACCAATTTAGCATAAATGACCATGGGTTTATTTGACACCTGTTTGAACAGTACTTCACAATATTCCGGCTATATGTTGGCTGTCTGTAAATAATCGAGTCTGGACCAGACAATCTAGTGATCAACATCATGAGCATCGATCTATGCAATTGGGATGCGGTGACATGTGTCAGCGAGTCTGACCACTCGATCCCGTCAGTCACCTCTTACGACAAGCATGGGTTACTGAAGATCAATTCTCACCCGGAACGTTAATTCTAACTAACTCACTCACTCACTCACTCACTCACTCACTCACTCACCACACCCGTCATGAAATCACTGGAACATAACGGGAATCATCAAAGACCAATTTAGCATAAATGACCATGGGTTTATTTGACACCTGTTTGAACAGTACTTCATATATGGCACGTCATGTTAGCTTATTGCGGGAGTGAGTGAGTGAGTTTTACGAACGCTTTTAGTAATATGCACGCATTATCAACTCCAGGCATGGGCTTCACACATTTTACCCATATGGGAATCTGCATGACGAGCGAACGCTTTAACCACTTAGCCGCTCCGCTGCCCCATTCAATGTGTGAGTGAGTGAGTTTAGTTTTACGCCGCACTCAACAATATTCCAGCTATATGGCGGCGGTCTGTAAATAATCGAGTCTGGACCAGACAATCCAGTGATCAACAGCATGAGCATCGATCTGCACAATTGGGAACCGATGACATGTGTCAACCAAGTCAGCGAGCCTGACCACCCGATACCGTTAGTCGCCTCTTACGACAAGCATGGGTTACTAAAAAATCATTCTAATCCGGACATTCACGGGTTTCTCAATGTGTGCGGAAAGCTCGAAGAGATGCAAGTCTCAGGAAGCTGATCAACCTAGAAACAGAAACGGATAAACCGGGATTCGAACCTACAATCATAGGGCTTTCCGGCAAACCGGATGGCGACTCGTGCGCGTCTCGTGTTTACGACTGGGCCTTGTCTAAGCGCAAACGGGCACGGCGATGAAAGTAGTCTAAGACTATTTCCGAGGAAAGATAAATTTCCAAATATGGCTACTCCAAGAAATAATACAACACAAAAGTCACTTTAAGTAAGTTTCTTATGTTGTTGACAAATATCAATAACAAGATAAGTTCATAATCACGGAAATAATAATGAAAATCGATAATCGCAAATAAACTATTTAACCTCATTTCACATTTTACTAGGCGCGATTTGATTGGTTTGCCACGATTCTTGGCAATAATGGCGTATTATAAAAGTCCGAGTCTTCATGTAGGTCACGGAAAAAGGCCGAGTAGTTACGAATGAATCATTTGGCTCTTGTGTTGCGATGCGATGCAACATTTAACAAAATATCGCAACGTCCATAATACCTTGGTCAACTGTACAGTAATTTAACCATGAACGCAACACTGATTATGTTGATCAATGTCAATCATGAAACAACAGGTATACAGGTAGTATATAAGTGGTAATGTTATGTGATATAGTTGACTGAGTATCCACATACAATCTTTGACAGACAATGAAGGTGAACTACAGACCTTATTGTTCGAAGCGGGCGGCGGGGTAGCCAAGTGGTTAAAGCGTCCGCTCGTGACACTGAAGACCCGGGTTCGAATCCCCACATGGGTACAATGTGTGAAGCCCATTTCAGGTGTCCCCCGCCCTGATGTTGCTGGAATATTGCTAAAAGCGGCGTAAAACTAAACTCAGTCAGTCAGTCAGTATTGTTCGAAGCATGTTACACAATGTAACACATTATTGCTCAGTTGATATTGTTAGACATATTGTGTTCTGGTCGGTAGGGTCAGTGTTTCCTGGCTATTGACCCCGGCGCCTTCGCTCCTGGTTTCGAGGACAGGATGAGTCAGATGATTGACCACTGCAGAGGACTACAGCCGGTATGTAGGATGGGTTTAACTGTAGGTCTGATGGTGGATTTAACTGTATGTCCGATGATGGATTTCACTGTATGTCCGATGATGGATTTCACTGTATGTCCGATGATGGATTTCACTGTACATGTATGTCTGGTTGGTTTAACTGTATGTTTGGTGGAATAAACTGTATGTTGGATGAATGTAACTGCACGCAAGATTGGTTTAACTGTATACCGGATGAGGTTAACGGTATGTCTGATGGTGGATTTAACTGTATGTCTGGTTGGTTTAACTGTATGTTTGGTGGAATAAACTGTATGTAGGATGAGTGTAACTGCACGCAAGATTGGTTTAACTGTATACCGGATGAGTTTAACGGTATGTCTGATGGGTTTAACTGTATGTCTGATGGGATAAACTCTATGTCTCATGGGTTTAACTGTATTTATGACGTGATTAACTGTATGTAAGATTGGTTTAACTGTATGTAGGATCGGTTCAATTGTATGGAAGATTGGGTTAACTGTATGTAGGATGCGGTTAACTATATTAATTAACGTATGCATATCTCAACCACTTTCAAAACGATTGTTGTCAACAAATGACTTAAAACAATTTATAAGAATATTTTCGTTATATCTAAGGATATTTGCGTGTATCGATATTTTTGTTCTAATATAGAAATTTCTGTTCACAAAATGTATATAGTCGTGATATAGATACCATGTATTATATATTATGCAATAGAGGAATAGAAAAAAAATATTTCGCAATTTGCTGCCCTGTGCATTCCAAAGCCTCAGTTAACGATGATACCGTATACCCATGTCGGGATCTATCATGTAGACAGCGTGACTGGTACCGTAATGTTGCCGACACAAATTGTTGCAGGCTGAAGGAGAGACGGAGGTTTTGGTAGCCGGTGACCCAGAGAGAAACCACACAGCGATGTGTGACAAACGAGGAGGCATACCGTACCAAGAATCCCAGATCCATTACGCTGTAAGCCTATGTCGGTACACGACTGCTCCCAGCTTGTCTCACAGTCCCTGAACCACAAAATTTTCCCTACTGCCCAGCCCTCTCTGCAACGCTAAAGCCACAATGAAGCAAGTCTAGATTTCCTCAGGGTCTCGTTCCTCAAAGCGATCGTAGCTACAATCAGTTGTAAGCCCTACGATCAACTTTACAAGTATCGTAAATAACAATTTATTAGCTATTGTAAGGGAATTGTAAGCATCGTGATTGTAAATCTTTCGATCGTAAATTACAATCGTGATCTTCTGCGCGAAAGATTGGTGATTCCGGTTGGTGAGAGTTGCTTTCCCTTTCAAGCAGTCGAAAAATAACCCACCCTTAGCAAGATAACGCAAAGTAATTAAAACCTTACTTTCTACGGATAGTGCATGAAAAGGGTGGGTTTCCGAGGACAACCCAGGTTCTAGCATGCTTACCAGTTTCAGAATGGAGCCTTGAAAATATTTCAGCGTCATTGTAAACATCAAAAAACACGACTACGGTGTCGAAATATCTTCTCAAGGCCAAATCTCTGTCTCTTTTGTTTATGAATTACAACAAACGCCGCCATCTTGTTTATACACAACAATCGATCGTAAGTAAGTTACAGAAGGTCATAAGCAACTTACGGAATTGATTGTAATCTCCCTGGGTCTCCTTCAATTTAAATAGGTTTATTTGTTACTAACAAAATTATATACAGTCAAAGACTAAGCTTTAGTCTACACTGCTTCCGGCAGTATTTCAGTCATATCACAGCGCGGCAGTGAGCCTCATGTCAGTGAGTGAATACAGTTTTACGCCGCGTTTAACAATGTCCCAGCAGTATTGCGGCGCGGGACACCAGAAATGGGCTTGTGGGGTATCCTTGTGGGGATTGGAACCCTGGCTTCCACATGAAGACTGTACGTCTTAACTTCATGGTCTAACCCACCGTTTGATGTATGTCTTGGATGTCAAACTGGGACAACGATGAGGGAATTTTGTTAAGTAATTGAGGATTGGGAGGGGTAGGGAGAGTGAGTGAGTTTAGTTTTACGCCGCACTCAGCAATATCCCCGCTATATGGCGGCGGTCTGTAAACAATCAGTCGAGTGATCAACAGCATGAGCATCGATCTACGAAAATGAGAGGCCATAACATGTGTCAACCAGTCAGCGAGTCTGACCACCCGATCCCGTTAGTCGCCTCTTACGACAAGCATGGGTTAGGGTTGAGAGAGATATGGAGAGGAAAGTGTGTGTGCGTGCGCGTGTGTGTTTGGTGGGTGTTGGAGTGAAGAAAGTATGCTGGGACTGGTCATTCCCCCAGTATTATTGAACGGTAATGTTTATTGTAATCACAGTGCCTTATTGTATAAATTCATTGTTTTAGTCAGCAATGCAATCTATCTAGAAAGAATGGTAGGGCGTCCTACATGAATTCCTTCTCTTTATAGGACGACATTGCAAAGGAGTACGGCGTCGATCCAATGAAAAGAAACCAAGGTTCTACAGAACATGATAAGACAAGCTGAAGAGAGTAACCAGCGAGCTTCGAGAAATTACATATTGTCTGTCCGGAGTGAATGAAAGATGTTAATCCCGGACCCTTTCAGTGTCTGACTCTACCCTATTTTGCAGACACCCCAGTTTTGCAGACACTCCAATTTGAAGACACTTACCTAATACGGGAGTAACAAATCCTGAACCAATTAAGTCTGCGACTATCAACTGAACTCTGCACTCTCTCATTGCCACCTTAATCTATTCCGTTATAATTTAACCATAAAGGGCATTAATACGGGAGAGAGATCAAGTTTGCCCAGCTGAATCTTGGTGCCTTTCCCCATTTTGTGAGATAGACAGCTTCTATGGACGACCGAAGGAACAGTTTGTTTGACTGAAGACCCGACTTCATTAGCAATGTTTTGAAATCTGAACAGTTTGCATGTTAGTTGTCTGTTGTAATTAAATATGAATTTCTCAGCCATTCGGTACAATTTATATTTTTATATTTTCTATATGACATAATATTAACACGGAGACGCCTCACGGGCGAAAGAAACGTCACCTCGCTTTTTTAACATGTCACAAAAGAACAAACTCAGATTTTGGAAATTTAACAATCATATTTGGAAAATTAATGGATTTACAACATTCTGAATGATAAAAGTGTCAACTACAGATATGAATAATCACTTAGTGTACGATAAAAGATTTAAAAACTCATTTTGGTGACGTTGCTTTCGCCTGTGTGTTTATTTATGTTTTCTGAACGCATGCTTGCAAAGTAGGGAATCTGTAGATGATAATATTTCACTGAAGACAGCTATTGCTAAGAAACCGATGATTGGTTACCGGCTTGCCATTATCAGAAATACATCTGATGTTCATGGTGTCAAACACGATTTTATGTGGCGTTGTTCCAACACTGACACAACAGAGCAGAGGTCTCCAATCGAGATCTGAAAATCCACTTTGATATAACAACAAAATCCGAAATCTAAAATCGCATGCAACTCGGAACAACCACTGGTCACAAATGTCGCTTAGGACAGAAAATATGTAATTTATCGTGGCTAATAGGTCTTTGTCCAAATAAATGACGTTTATATACGGCAGCAGACACATTTTCACGGAGAGGACAAAACAAACCCGACTCGTGTCTTTCTGGTTTGAGTTGACGCATCTGTGGCAAAAATGATGCAAATGTCCCTTTTTTATTTGTACCACGTTAGTTTTTTTAGGTGAAGAATTGATTTGCCTTTGCATGTGTTTATGATAGATGCCACCACAGGGGCCTCTGCCTTTAACAGAGATTTCAAGTGGCTTTTTGAAACAGCTTTGCTGCTTTTATCTTTTAACTACAACAAATCTTGTGTCTCGCGTTCATATTACACCTTTAACAGTAAGATTCATGTCTCCGTTATTCTTCATAATCTTGAACGTTCCTTTTTGCTTAAATATTTTGCAAAATTGTACGAGGTTATTAACGACTAGCCCACACAAAAGGTCACCTGTTATATCTCATCTGACACGGGACGTCATAATGGCACGTGACATGACGCTGACAGAATTGGCAATGTTAAAGTTCAAATACTTGTGCTGTCATTTTATAAAATTGCGATAATGTATCTGGGGAAGAATATTATCATGAATATCTTAAGATTTTATGGATGTAAAACGATTTGTTAATACAGCTGCACAAATGACAGGGACACGTGACTGTTGTATAATTCAGACGCGTGACATGAGAGATGGTACGTTTCCCAAACATATGTAGGTGCGTGTCTAGATCATTTGATTGGGTTTTACGGGTTGGCGTGAAGTATTTCAGAAGGCAAAATAATATTTACTGAAAGAAATAACAAGTGGTTTCGTTTGTTCGCCGTTTACGGTCTTCAAATGCAATATGTCAGCATCAATGAAGTCTGTAAATACTCGTGTCTGGACCGGACAATCCATTCACTAACATAAGCATCGATACACGAACTTTGGATGTGATAGCATGCTTGAGAACTTGAACTTTTGTTTCTTAAATCACCGAATCCCGATTCTCGCCGTTTACGACAAGCATGGGTTGTTGAAGGTCTGTTTTACACGGACCTTAGGGTAAAACTACGCCTAGCACCGTACAATTGTGGATTTATGGAAGATTACCGTATCTGTGCAAATTATGAAATTATGGTCGATCGGGAGGAAGCAAATCAATCAATTAATTTCGTGCCATTTCCCAGTTGTTACATTTAATGGCACATGTGGCACCAACAAGCCCCATTCCAATATTTTGAGGCTGTAGTACCTTGTAGGTTGTTGCCAGCCGGCTTGTTCAAATATCTGAAAGAACAAATTAATAAAAATCCCTGAATTGTTTCAGAATAAATTAAAGGAGACAAATCACATATAAGAATAAAACTTGTAAAATCGCAATCGTTTCGTCGCTTCTGTAAATGAAATTTCAACTTGTCTACATATATATGACACAGAGACTGATATATGGGAGATGAGAGTGTTGTATATATTGCGGCAATACTGATTACATGAATAGTTTCCACTGATGCTACCAAGTGTCACATGTAGGGATGACAACCTTATAATTTATTGTCTGAAATGTCCTTTATAAGGAGAAAACTTTCTCTTCTAGTCAAATGAAATGAACCTATGTATGGAACGACTGAGCCCTTTTTATGCTGAACCACGGTGAATCGCTGATGCAAGCTGTGAACACCAGTTATCGCTGCAAGGAAATGTCACCCGCGCCCTCTAGCGTCAAGTGCCGTAATTTGAAATTAAGACACTTTTACGACTTTGGCGACGTCTTTACGAGAGGGTAGATAATATTCTGATTGTTAATTTTTTGACATTTACTTATTTTTGTCTGTCTAAAGTGTTGCCTTTCGCTGAGAAACCTGGGATTTTATTTCGTCGTTTTTTCATAATCCGACAAGCACTATCAAAGGGTACATTTCTTAACATGTCCAACACGTATTGGCAGTGTATAACAGTGGCATTGTTGTATAGGAAAAGTTTTCTCAGAAAATCAAGTTTTGGTTTTTTGGAAAGCTCGCTTATAAATTTTTGTGTGTAAAAACACGATGTGCAAGTTTAATATGAAATATCCATTTAACAATGGGTACTCAAATTGGGACTGGGAATTCGATTTCTTTTGCAATATTTGAGTGCAAATCAGTTCCTTTTTTTATCAATGCTTCGTATGAAATTAGCTCTGCGTAAAGAGGGGTTAGGTGGTGAAGCTCGCAAACTTGGTTGACGCATGTCATCGTATCCTAATTTCGTAAATTGAGGTTCATGATGACAATCACTAGATTTTGCGGTCCGGACTCGCTTTTTACAAACCGCCACCACATGCCTGGAATGCTACTATAAGACACTACTTGCTTCATCGATAGTTCAGTCTCGCCGAGTTGTTTGTTGCATGTCGAATCCAACTTGTGTAGATCGTCGATTAGGATCAGTCACACAGTCACACAGTCCTTGAATCATCAATACCAAAACATCAGATAAACACAGGTTTCGAATACAACGCCAATTTTCTATTAATCTTTTATATTTTTATTCATTTCAGATAGGTATACAGAGACAGGGAGTACACAACTCCATGTTAGGGCTGGATACATATTGGCAACAAAGAGTTACAAATTTTAAAGTAAGAAAATATAGTTACTAGTATACAAAGTCAGGGAGTGCACCACTCCAGCAGCAAACTTCATGGGTTACAGGCATGCTCGAGCTAGTTATACATCAGCAACAAAGATTTACAAATTCGAAGTGTGAAAACATAGGTACACAGAGACAGGGAGTGCACCACTCCAGCAACAGACTCCATGGGTTACAGGCATGCTCGAGCTAGTTATACATCAGCAACAAAGATTTACTAATTTCGAAGTGTGAAAACATAGGTACACAGAGACAGGGAGTGCACCACTCCAGCAACAGACTCTATGGGTTACAGGCATGCTCGAGCTAGTTATACATCAGCAACAAAGATTTACAAATTTCGAAGTGTGAAAACATAGGTACACAGAGACAGGGAGTGCACCACTCCAGCAACAGACTCTATGGGTTACAGGCATGCTCAGAGCTTACTAGTTATACATCAGCAACAAAGATTTACAAATTCGAAGTGTGAAAACATAGGTACACAGAGACAGGGAGTGCACCACTCCAGCAACAGACTCTATGGGTTACAGGCATGCTCGAGCTAGTTATACATCAGCAACAAAGATTTACTAATTTCGAAGTGTGAAAACATAGGTACACAGAGTCAGGGAGTGCACCACTCCAGCAACAGACTCTCTGGGTTACAGGCATGTAAGAGCTGGTTATACATCAGCAACAAAGAGTTCAAATTTTCAAAGAATACAACGCCACTTAATGAAAATCCTGATGTCAGACTCGGTGCCGGACAGATTTTGTGGTGTTGAACACAATACAAAAAACGTTTGTGAAACATAAGGTTAGTTATCAACTTTTTACTGCTAAAATAAAGGAGTTCTAGTAGTAGCAGTAGGGACTAATACTTCAACTCGGACAAAATAGTGATGTTTATATTACAAAAGTATTTCAGAATTTTGCGAAGGCCGATTGAGGCGTGTATTATAAAACTAGCGGTAAGAGTAACCTTGCTGAATATATACTACCCATCAAAAGTTTAGACTCACTTAGAGCACTCACTATATGTTATGCATATATGTGTGGTTACATCGAAATTTCTCCACAAACTTTGGGGAACCAACTGCAAACTTTATGCAGATGAACTGCACGAGGATCATGCATTAAATTGCTAAAACGCATGTGCAAATATCGTGCATGTGAACAGCTGTGTTGTGGTGTAAAATTTTGTTGAAAATTCGACAATTTTCACTCAGTTTTTTTTAACCAATGACAATAATCTTTTCAACTTTACGAATTTGTTTTACAATACATCAGTTCATGTGTAAACAGTACCTTTAAACAGTATAGAAAATTTTGCAATTTCTGGTTCAGAAGAGTTGACTTAAGTGGCTACATTTACACAAGTAATTCTAAACTTTTGACGGGGAGTATATATAGTTCAATACGAGGACTATATTTTGATACCTATTCATAAAGAAATTGTCTCAACTGTTAAGTCGAGATTCACAGTTTGTGCTCACACGGTCATGCAAGACGCATAAGATGTTTACAAGTTTTTAGGAAGCACGATCTTCACACGCCTGTTTTTGTAATATGGATAGCGCAGAATGATTGTTTACCTGTCAGGCGTTCATAAAAACAGTTTTGTGACAGTAAATAACGCTTACCAAATGCCACTGCGAACAGGAGCAGTGACTAAACGAAGGTATCACACATTCATATACCTATATTCATCGACACAGATGTCATATCTTTCGAGATAATATTCTCAACTTTGTGCAAACGCAAGTACGTAACGTCACAATGCCCGTCTTCACGTTGCATGTGTTGTGTGTTGTGTTTGAATAAGT